ATGCCTGGGTCGGGCGGAAACACACAGGTAACAGTCACCCACAGCATACATAGCAGCAAGGATAGCATCATAATCAAGATCAAAGATAGCAACCCCCGACTTAAGCAGATCACCCCAGCGAGGGATCTCAGTGGCGTCAGGAAACTGTGTACGCCAAGCGTCAGTCAGGCGGCCGAAACAGTGGAGCGTGGCGTGCGGGCCGCCGCACGTCTCTCCACTGCGGTCGCCGGTGCGGAGAACGTAAGCGCAGGGACCAGCACCCCAAGACCTCCCACGCCCAGCGTACCACTCACGAAGCTGCTGGGGCGACAGGGTCTCACGAGGGCGCTGCTGCTGCTGGCGCTGGCCACCGCCAAAGCCTCCCCGCTGCACAGCACCACCCCGACCAGCACCACCGCCGCTGCCACCCCCACCGCCTCCGCCGCCGCCGCCGCCACCTCCACCCCCACTGCCGCCGCCTCCGCTGCCTCCACCTCCACCACCGCTACCGAAGCCCCCACTCCCGCCACCACCCCCACCTCCACCCCCACCCCCTCCACCGCCTCCACCGCCTCCACCGCCACCACCGCCGCCCCCGCCATCCCCTCCAGCACCCTTGCCCCCCTTGCTCCTGCCGCTGCGGCGCCTCCCACTAGGAGCAGACGCAGCTCCGACCGACTCGGTGCCAACGAGGTCGACAGCAGCAGCAGAGGCAACAGAGGGCAAAAGAGGGATGGGGGAGCACCCCTCAAAGAAAGGGGCACGAGGGTCACCACGAGAGGCTCCTACAGCGACTATACTCTTCTCAGCTGCAAGGAGGCGCTCCTCGAGGAGGTCAACGGTGAGCGTGGTGGGGCAAAGGGAGAGGAAGTGGTCCCTGACCGAGCGAAGGGAGTCAGGGAGCCGGGTGACGAGGTAGTAGAGAGTGATGTACATAGGGGGGGGGTTCGCGGCGCAGAACTCGGCAGGAAGCGCAGCGCGGTAGCGGGTGTCACTAGTGCGGAGGTGCGTAATGAGGTCAGCGACCGTGGCAAAAGCAGCTAGGTCAGGGAACAGGTACGGCAGCATGAGGCGGCTAAGGGCAGCAGTGGCAGGGGAGTAGCGCGCAACAACAGCGTCGTACAGAGTCCTAGCGGTCTTGTACTGGCTAAAGTGCGCGCGCTCAGCAGACGGCAGGTGACTACGGACAGCTACACGAGCAGCAGCATCGCGTGTGGTCCACTGTGAGCGAACTGTACTGTCAGCATCGGCAGCAGTGGCAACAGCGACGCCGGACGTGTGGTCGAACAGTGAGACTCCGTCCTTAGAGTCACACTGCAGAAAAAGCTGTAGATCATCGACCCAGACCTCAAAATCGACCGCTCGACCCTCAGCATCGAAGGTAAGGACATTAGGGCTAGCCATGACAGCAGGAGCAGCAGCAGTAGCCTAGCAGCAGCAGTAGCAGCAGGAGCAGCGCGACTTGGCAGGGCGGCGCGGCTCGCAAGGGCAGCGCGGGTGCGGCGGTGCGCTTACCAGGGTAGGGCCGCCAACGGCGACGGTAGGCAGGGCCGCAACAGCGGCAGTAGGCAGGGCCGCGACTGCGGCTGTAGGAAGGGCCGCAGCAGCTGCAGGCAGGGCCGCGACAGCGGCCGAGCAGGGCCGCGACAGCTTCAGGCGGGGCCGCGACAGCAGGGCGGCAGGGCCGCGACGGCTCCAGGCAGGGCCGCTACGGCAGGGAGGCAGGGCCGCGACGGCAGGACCGCGACGGCAGGGCAGGGCCGCGACGGCGGAAGTCAGGGCCGCGTCTGGAGGGCGGCGGAGCCGCGTCAGCAGGGCGGCAGGGCCGTGACTGGATCAGGCAGGGCCGCGACGGCAGGGGCCTCGACGGCAGTGGCCGCGACGGCAAGGGGCCACGACGGCAGGGGGGGCCGCGACGGCAGGGGCCGCGACGGCAGGGGCCGCGACGGCAGGGGCCGCGACTGCAGGGGCCGCGACGGCAGGGGCCGCGACGGCAGGGGCCGCGACGGCAGGGGCCGCGACGGCAGGGGCCGCGACGGGAGGGGCCGCGACGGCAGGGGGGGGGGCGCGACGGCAGGGCCGCGACGGCAGGGCCGCGACGGCTCTAGTCAGGGCCGCGACGGAAGGGCAGGCGCACGGGGCGCATGTAAGGCAGGCGCGAGGCGTGCGACAGGGCAAGGAGCGCGCTTCGGGGAGGGCAGAAAAAAAAATATTAAGTGGTGGGCCCTAAAAAAACGGTCCCACTAGGGAACCCGCTCTATACCATGTGAGAAATGTACGAGGAATGATTGACTAGAAAGGAGATGGGTACTATGAAAACCTAGAAAAGCTGTACCCCATAGTGTCTACCCCACTACAAGCCTACACAGGCTATATCATATATGTTTGACAGACGGTGTGCCAACGCTGCTGCAGGGTGGCTGTCCAGCGTTGCCCCATAGAAGACAGCAGTGCGCACACTCGCAGGTGCGCGCAGACGATTGGCCCGACTTGCACCGTTGTGCATCCGTCGGATGTTGTCTGCACCTGACGAGCCACATCGACTTCGGGATACCAACCCGAAGTCACCTTCGCCATCGGGACCTCGACGACGTTCGCGTGCCTCCCGCAGAACTCGCCGAGCAAATTACCCGGTCGACCCTGACAACCCCCAGGTGCTCTGGTCGACCACCAAGTGCCTCTAGTCGACCATCAGGTGCCCCTAGTCGACCACAGCTCCCGTCGTGCTACCCCCTGGTCGACGGACCCCTTCCGTCGATCAGAACTGTCAGCTGTTGTCGCCAAGCTCCCCTCGTCGACCGCTGCTCACTTGTCAGGTCTCCTGGTCGAACTGCTCTTCCTGGTCGACGGCACACCCGTCGCCCAGACCAGTCAGTTGTGGCTGTCGAGCTCCCTGGTCGGCAGCAATACCACAGCGGTCCCCTGCAACTCGACGAAGCCTGTCGAGTAGCTCTTCCACTGTGAACGGCCGGCTGCTACTCCCGTACATCCGACCAAGTCGTCGGCGTTGCCCAAGCGAGGGCGGGGCCAACACTCCATTCCCGTTAACAACAGCCAACGGAGCTTTCGCCGCATTTGCGCGCCACATTTCCAAACCTTGCGCCACTGGACCGGCCCGAGTCGGCCTACGCCCGAGCCTCGCTGCCAGCGTTACACTAGCTAGCTCGCACGCACGCGTTACTGTTTGCATGTTTCGTCCATAGGTTTTCGATCATGCCTTCGCTCATACTTATTTGTACACATTTGCTTATTTTGTGCAATCACTATTACCTCGCTACATTGCACCCACAACAAATGGTTTATAATACATATTTATAAAACCTTTTATGATCTTAATCTACTCTCAGAGGTGTGATGAACGTTGTTTAACCTATGGCTCCTCCGTGCCACATACCAAACAGCTGTTATTCAAGAGATTTGCCCCAGGCACGAGTTTGGATATTGAATGTTGCAAACGTGGCCTTCATTCACTCTCGTGGTTCTACATTTAGCGGATAATTGCTCGAGTGGTCTTGCCATGGGATTCCCGCAGCCTTTTTTTTCACCCGACACATTACGTGATAAGGGTATTTATCCCTTAATTTTTTTATTCGCACTTGTCTCATTTCGTCGTTGCGTAGGGTATTATTCCATAATCGAGCATATACTATGCGCACTCATAAAGGTTTATGCGCGATCAACTAAATGTCGTTTAAAGCTGAACGCGGGCAAAAACTAAAACCCATCGCGTACGGGATGAGACATGTGCGAACAGAAACTTTGGGGATAAATGCCTTTAGCGGGTAATGTGCTGGGTTAAAAGAAGGCTGCGGGAATCCCCTGGCAAGACCACTCGAGCAATTATCGGTGAAATGCAGAACCACGCGAGCGAATAGAGGCCACGTGTGCAACACCCAATCTCCAAACACGGCTTTGGAGCAAATCTCTCCAGTTACTCCCCTCCCCCTCCGATTGGGCTTTGATGTCTGGTTTGGAGCATTTCACTTGCCGGAACTTGAATTGCTATTCGTCGGCCAATCAGTGGGCGTCCGTAACAACCTATCGTACTACGCTCGGAAATTCAGGTGGCTTTGGGTTTTCAACCACCCAACAGGCTTGGCAGCATACTCTGCCTCCTTCACCTGCCACCATGATCTCCTTTGGTTGAATCAAAGGAGAGTTGACAGCAGAGCTTGCCACTAAACTAACTTCATTCTCTTTCCAGCCTTATTTAACGAACATGGCTCCTTATAATGTAAGGCTTCAGCATTTTGTCACTCCGTACCTCTACTTTTCTCTTCTGTCATTGTCTTCGACATCCTTGTTGTCCAATAGCTCTTTGCCCTTCTAGTAGTTTTAGAAATAGTTTTCATCCGTTAATATTGTTGCATCCTGGACCTGCTTTATTTGCTCCTGTTGCCGCTTTCTGGTACTTGAGCAACATGAGGAAGATGGAGCGATTGCCTTGATCGGGTCTCCTTTTGTCACTGCCTCTGCGGTGCGTGCAGGCGAGCCATCTCCTCCTGGAGGAGCCAATCCGGTTGGCGTCCATTCTCGAGTCCTCGTCCTACCATGTGCGTTCTCCTCATCACCTGGCTTCTCCCCATTGCCTTCTCCTCATCACCTGGCTTCTCCCCATTGACTTCTCCTCATCACCTGGCTTCTCCCCATTGACTTCTCCTCATCACCTGGCTTCTCCCCATTGACTTCTCCTCATCACCTGGCTTTCCCCATTGACTGCTCCTCATCACATGGCTTCTCCCCATTGACTTCTCCTCATCACCTGGCTTCTCCCCATTGACTTCTCCTCATCACCTGGCTTCTCCCCATTGACTTCTCCTCATCACCTGGCCTTCTTCCCCATTGACTTCTCCTCATCACCTGGCTTCTCCCCATTGACTTCTCCTCATCACCTGGCTTCTCCCCATTGACTTCTCCTCATCACCTGGCTTCTCCCCATTGACTTCTCCTCATCACCTGGCTTCTCCCCATTGACTTCTCCTCATCACCTGGCTTCTCCCCATTGACTTCTCCTCATCACCTGGCTTCTCCCCATTGACTTCTCCTCATCACCTGGCTTCTCCCATTGACTTCTCCTCATCACTGGCTTCTCCCCATTGACTTCTCCTCATCACCTGGCTTCTCCCCATTGACTTCTCCTCATCACCTGGCTTCTCCCCATTGACTTCTCCTCATCACCTGGCTTCTCCCCATTGACTTCTCCTCATCACCTGGCTTCTCCCCATGACTTCTCCTCATCACCTGGCTTCTCCCCATTGACTTCTCCTCATCACCTGGCTTCTCCCCATTGACTTCTCCTCATCACCTGGCTTCTCCCCATTGACTTCTCCTCATCACCTGGCTTCTCCCCATTGACTTCTCCTCATCACCTGGCTTCTCCCCATTGACTTCTCCTCATCACCTGGCTTCTCCCATTGACTTCTCCTCATCACCTGGCTTCTCCCCATTGACTTCTCCTCATCACCTGGCTTCTCCCCATTGACTTCTCCTCATCACCTGGCTTCTCCCCATTGACTTCTCCTCATCACCTGGCTTCTCCCCATTGACTTCTCCTCATCACCTGGCTTCTCCCCATTGACTTCTCCTCATCACCTGGCTTCTCCCCATTGCATTGACTTCTCCTCATCACCTGGCTTCTCCCCATTGACTTCTCCTCATCACCTGGCTTCTCCCATTGACTTCTCCTCATCACCTGGCTTCTCCCATTGACTTCTCCTCATCACCTGGCTTCTCCCCATTGACTTCTCCTCATCACCTGGCTTCTCCCCATTGACTTCTCCTCATCACCTGGCTTCTCCCCATTGACTTCTCCTCATCACCTGGCTTCTCCCCATTGACTTCTCCTCATCACCTGGCTTCTCCCCATTGACTTCTCCTCATCACCTGGCTTCTCCCCGTTGACTTCTCCTCATCACCTGACTTCTCCCATCAACTGGCTTCCCCCCATCACCTGGCTTTTCCCCCAACACCGCCTTGCAGTTTCGAAATTCTCTTAGCGACTGATCGTTGATTTCAGGCTCGACTAATCGTTGATTTCAGGCTCGACTAATCGATGGCCTCGGCGGTTCATTGATGACACTTGATATGGAATACCGAGAATTCTTGAAAACAACCCAACCCCCACACACGCACGTGCGCGCGCGCGCGCGCGCACACACACACACACACACACGCGCGCGCGCGTGCGCACATCATTTGGAACTTTCTGCATCGTCACGTGTGTGTTTCCCGATGTCGATCATGCTCCGCAGAAATCGCTGCCATGTCTGACCAAGATCGTTGCGACCGTTGGTGGGACGAGCCAAAGCGTTGAGGTGCTGGAAGGGCTGCTGGAAGCCGGCATGAACGGTACTGATCTCTCGCTCCGCACTGCCATCGTTCCGTCTCCTCCTTGCTGGCTCTGTCAAGGCTCGTCATCTCGCTCCCTCTCCCCTCGTGTTGCGCTGATTCCCGTGCTCGCAGTCGCGCGATTCGACTTCTCGCATGGGGACTCGGACTATCACCAAACCACACTGGACAACCTTCGCGCGGCCATGCGCAAGACGAAGAAGCTCTGTGCGGTAAGCCTCCCTCACGCCGTATTTTTCCACAGAACCGCGTTTACACTCACCTCGCCCCCGCTGAGTCCAGTACGCACTTAATTGCTCCCCTTTCCTTACCTTCCACACTGTTGCTTGTGCCACGCATGAGCCACCCCACCAGGCCCTCGTATATGCCGTCTTTCTCGATGCTGGAAATTCGACTTGTGGGTGGCTGCGTCCTGTGGCGGTTTTCTTACCCTCTTCCTTTCTCCCTCCCTGCCAACGTCGCCCCTCGCCATCGTGTGTGATCGTCGTGTGTGATGTCATGTGTGGTCGTCACGTCATGGTGTGATTGTCGTGTGTGATCGTTGTGTGATCGTCATGTGTGGTCGTCGTGTGTGATCGTCATGTGTGGTCGTCATGTGGCCGTTTTGGTTCACTGCGCCGTGCGGGGCGCGGTGCCGTGGCATGGCGTGCGAGCAGGTGATGTTTGACACGATGGGGCCAGAGATCACCATCCACAACGCGTCGGGTAGCCCCATCTCGCTCACGGCCGGCGACTCCATCACCATCACGCCCAGTCCCTCCGCCGCCCCCATCTCCTCGCAGCTGCTCCCCATCAACTTCAAGGGCCTCGCCAAGGTAGGTATGCCTCGCCAAGGTATGCCTTCACTTGCTACAAGACCTTCACTTGCTACAAGACCTTCACTTGCTACAAGACCTTCACCGCTCCAGCCAACGGCGCTCCCACTCGCACCCACCTGCTCCCACTCGCACCCACCTGCTCCCACGTGCAACCGCCCTTGCACACACGTTCATGTGCCCATGCATTCCTCCACTTCCTTTGCAAACGCACTCTGACTGCACGCTGTCTCTGTGGCGCCCCATGCAGGCAGTGAAGCCGGGAGATGAGATCTTCGTGGGGCAGTACCTATTCACGGGCAGCGAAACCACCTCCGTCTGGCTCGAGGTGCACCCCCTCCGCCCTCGCTCTCTCTCGCCCTCGCCACCCTCCCTAGCCGCGTTCTCGCCCTCTCCCTCGCCATCGCCCTCGCCCGCGCCTTTCCCTGGGCCTCGCCTCTCCATTTCTGATAAGCTGCATGATTCTCGTTTTCCTTTACCTTGCGTGCACTCCCTCTGATGTGCCCATGGCTGCTCTGCTGCCACTGTGTCTTGCAAGTCCCGGTGTGCGGAGGCATTCATCCTCACCTTTTGTTGCCCACGTGCTTGTGCCGCCATGCTACCAGGTCCACGAGACAAAGGGCGCTGATGTGATCTGCTTTGTTAAGAACAGTGCCACGCTGGCGGGCACTGTGTTCACGGCCCACGTGGCACAGGTTGGTCATCTCGCCTATAGCGTTGCTGCACATCCCCATCCGATCCCCATTTCATTCCCGTCCCTTCCCGCGTCCCCATCACATTTCCTCGTGCTTTGCTTCAGTTTACAGGATTCGTAGTACTTCTCCTACTTGCATCCTCTCCACCATCCTCTCTCCCTTCTACCCACTCCACACCTTTCCGCGCTTCCTCCAGCCTCTCTCTCCTCCCTCACTCCGTTCCCTAGTTGTCCTCTCGTCTCCACGCCCCTCATGTCACCCGTGTTGTTCCCCCATCACCCGCACCCCTGGGCGGCACAGGTGCGCATAGACCTGCCGACGCTGACGGAGGAGGACAAGCGGCTGATTGCCACGTGGGGGCAGCGCAACAGCATCGACATCATCTCCCTCTCCTTCACACGCCATGCAGACGACGTCCGCCAGGTGCTCTGCTGCTGCTGCTTCAGGTGCTTCTTTTAAGTGCTGTCTTGGATGATGCCTCACATGCTGCCTCAGGTGCTACTTCAGGTGCTGCCTCAGGTGATACCTCAGGTGCTGTCGGGTTATCTTGAGTGCTGCCTCGGATGCTGTCTCAGGTGCTGCATCATTCTCTGTCATGGTGCTGTCGCAGGTCCCCCTTGCGTGCACGACTTTGACACTGTCCTTTCCCCGAGCGCTGCTGTCGAAGCTGGGCGACCTCTCTCAGACGCAGATCTATGCCAAGATTGAAAACATGGAGGTCAGCTGCACCCACCATCCCATCCCTGCTAATTCCCATTTCTCACTCGCCCTCGCTCTCTCCCATGCCATCCCACAGCCCCCCCACATTTCACCCTTTGGTTTGTGTTTACGGCTGATACTCTTGTTGCTCGTTCACTGTGTCTCGGTGCTGGGTGCACGGTTGTGTTGTGTGGTACTGGGTGCACGGTTGTGTTTGTGTGTGAGCAGGGATTGAAGCACTTTGACGAGATCCTTCAGGAGGCAGACGGCATCATCCTCTCACGAGGCGATCTGGGCATTGACCTCCCAGCAGAGAAGGTGGGTGCAGGACTCCTGTCACGGCCTCAAGAGCAGCGCACACTAACGTGGCTTCTCACCCCCTTGATCACAGTAACAATCAGAGTGCAGCACCAGCACTCCTGCCCTCGACACACCTACCTTCACCACCCATACCATTGTCTCTTCAACCCTCAGCTCCCCGAATTGGTAATTGGTCTCTACAGCATTTTCCCGCTAATCACGTATGGTTATTGCGTGTGCCACGGCGCCACACCCTGCCTGTTCTGGTTCCTGTGGTGCGGTGGAGCACAGGTGTTTCTGTTTCAGAAGGCAGCCATCTTCAAGTGCAACATGGCGGGCAAGCCGTCCATCATCACGCGTGTTGTCGACACCATGACAGACACGCCGCGCCCCACCAGAGCCGAGGCCACCGACGTTGCCAACGCCGTGCTCGATGGTCCGTGCACCCATGATGCACCCCGCACTTCAGTATGCCGACAGAAAGTGGAATAGTGGCCACAAGCTGCTGCCGTGCGCACCTGTTCTTTTGTTTTCTGCTGGAACTTGTGATTTTTGTAGGACTTGTGTTGGTCTCCCCCACACACCACGTTTGTGGTTTTGCTGTTGTGCTGTGTGCGGTGTGATGTGCGTTGCAGGCACGCACACGGTGCTTCTGGGAGCGGAGACGCTGCGAGGGCTGTACCCCGTGGAGACCGTCATGACCATTCGCAAGATCTGCGCTGAGGTACCGTGTTGTGCTGCCATGCCATGCTGCACGGTGCTTTCTCTCGCTGTCCTCTCACCACACCACTTTCTCAGGCGCACACTCATGCACTGTCAACCTTCCTCATATACCCCCTTTTCCCGCGCATGCATGGGCCAGGCAGAGAAGGTGTACAACCAGCAGCTCTACTTCAAGAAGACGGTCAAATACGTGGGCGAGCCCATGACCCACATCGAATCCATCTGCTCCTCTGCGGTATGCGCACGCCCTCCTTCACCTTGTTGCCAAGCGCACTCACAAGCGCACTCACATGTATGTGCGTGTGCTTGTCGTCGCACCTCAGACCTGTGGCGTGTGCTGGGTCCCAACGTAACTCGCCCTGTTTGGACTGCTGCTGCTGCTGAAAATGGCCCTCTCCATGTTTCACCCGCTCGCTGGAGTCGTGTCGTGTGGTTTTGCCCCATTGGTTTTGTGTTGCTGGTCCCACCAGGTGCGTGCGGCAGAGAAGGTGCGCGCGTCAACCATCGTGGTCTTCACGTCGTCAGGCCGCACAGCTAGGTCAGCCCTGCACTCCAGTGTGCTGCCCCACACGCACCAGCCAGCCATGCGCACTGCATCATGTATCACACCATACCACTGCCCTGTCATGCACTTGCTCGAGTTCCTAGCTGGCGGTCAGAATGCATTCCTTCATAACACTCGCACCTTCGCACCCTCGCATGGCCTGTGGATTGGTGAGTACCTGTGGAGTTTTGACTCGGCACTGTGCTGGGTGCATGGCAGGCTGGTGGCCAAGTACAAGCCCACGATGCCCACGCTGGTGGTGGTGGTGCCGCGCCTCAGCACCAACCAGCTCAAGTGGAGCTTCACTGGAGCCTTCCAGGCCCGCCAGTGCCTCGCCATTCGAGGCCTCTTCCCCATGCTCGCCGACCCACGCAACCCGGTAAACCCCACTACACATGTTCCAATCCAACCTCCTTTTCCTGCAGCGTTTCCTCTTCCATGCAAAACCTTCCTGCTCCAGTTCCCCCGTTTCTATTATTCTCCTCTTCTCCCTCGACGTCCTTACCCAGCTGCATGATTTCTCTTCCCACCACCTGTGTGGTGCCGTGCATGGGTGTGGCAGTCGGCGAGCAACATCACGACGAACGAGACGGTGCTGAAGATGGCGATGGAGAAGGGCAGGGAGATGGGTCTTATGCGCGCCCATGACCGCGTCGTCGTCGTGCAAAAGCTCGGAGACTCCTTTGTTGTTAAGATCCTTGAGATTGGCACCTAACCATGACACTGCTTAGGTATCGCTCTAGCCTTGCCTTCTCGTACCCATCCCTTGTAACCAGTATTTTCTTAAGTCTTATGAGAAGCTGGGCCGGTTCCAGCGTCTTCCCTCCATTATTAGTACGGTTCGTAAGATATTTCAAAGAATAAAGGTAAAGAAATACCTCTTATTGTGAATGTAAGGTTAGAGATATTTGTGAATGTACAACACACAAAAAATGCCTCTTATCAGGTAAGACCTAAAAGACATTATCAGTCAATAATAAGTTGTCTATTCTGCATCAATATGTATTGCAATTTTGAGAAACATATGGGTCTGTACTTGTTAGCGACGGTTTACCTTATACGGTAAAGTGATGTTGCTGCTTTTGCTCTCTGTTCAGCCATTGTGGGGATCTGTTGCTGCGATGTGAGTGGCGCGAAACCCCATACATCAGGGCAACGGTCGCATATGTCGCCCAGACCTATGTACACACGAAACACCCAACACTGCATTCTCACACCCATTCCAGCTAGTGAGGAAAACTGAGAAGTTTTTTTGGGATCTTGTTCGAGATTAGTATCAGGTCAACATGTTCTTAGTCGACTGGTTCTATAGCGTTCTAGCTACGCTAGGTCTATGGCAGAAAGAGGCGAAAATATTGTTTTTGGGGTTAGATAATGCCGGAAAGACCACCTTGCTGCATATGTTGAAGGATGAGGTGAGTTAGTGCAGCTGCTTGATTTTAATGGTGATAACGGGAGAAGTTTCTCAATGACGTTTGATCCATTTTCTGTTTGTATGCTAAGAAGGTGATCTCTCCATGCTGGTTTTGTCGATGCAGAGACTAGCTCAGCATCAGCCAACACAGCATCCGACATCGGAAGAGCTGAGCATCGGAAAGATCAAGTTCAAGGCGTTTGATCTTGGTGGTCATCAGATAGCCCGACGCGTTTGGAAGGACTATTACGCGAAGGTCAGTGGATACACAGCTATCTATTGTTACTCGTGTTCACATGTAGTCTCCCTGGTAGTCTTGAACGATTAGTTTCTGTCTTCCCTGCAGGTGGATGCCATAGTGTACCTTGTCGACGCTGCTGATAAGGAGAGATTCATCGAGTCGAAGAAGGAACTCGATGGACTACTTTCAGACGACTCTCTGGCGCTCGTTCCGTTTCTGATCTTGGGAAACAAAATCGACATTCCAACTGCCGCATCCGAAGATGAGCTTCGTTATTCTCTGGGCCTGACTAACTACACGACAGGGAAGGGCAAGGTAAATTTGGCAGAGTCCAACATCAGACCGATTGAAGTCTTCATGTGCAGTGTGGTGCGTAAGATGGGATATGGTGAGGGCATTAAGTGGCTTTCGCAGTACATCAAGTAGATTTCCCCCTAAGGATGTTAAAGAGGGGGGCCTTACAAGGATGACCTCTCTTTGTAGGAGGGGCGTGGGCTCATCCAGTACTTCTTACTTTCTGTAGGCAAGTAGAGAGGTTTTCACTGTTGTCAACCCTTGTCATCCTGCCATTATTGGTCAGAGACATGCCATCATGCCATGCAATCCATGGTCCTTCAGTCGTCATTCCCCTGTTGTAGTCAACGTTGCTAGCATATGAATTGTATGAATAGAACGGAATTTCATTTCGCTTTGCAGCATGTTCTCCTGAAGCAGTGGTTGCCGTATAACTGAAATCCGTTCACTTCCTAAACTATAATCAATCTGCAAGTCTACGGATGACAACAAACCAAGTACGGTACAGTTACCATATCATGCTGGCACCGATGAGACTGAAGGAATCCCCATAGAGTGGCGTTTCGTGATGAACCTGGTGGGCAAGTAGGGTAGTAGGGAGCACACAGGACACTTGCACAACCCATGTGACGATCCACCAATCACAAGTGCTGCTGTGATAGAGTGAACACAACTTGCATGACCTTCTTGAGAGCCAGACAGCAATACGGTACCTGAAAAAGTCACGCCAGAGGAGCTCGAAGACCAGCCAGTCCATGCTCGGTTCCTTGGCAGCTGTGGCAGTGGCTGCCTTGGGTCCAGACAACCTGAAGGAGGTACGCAGGGATGACAGCACTTGAAACCTCGTGAAGCAGTTGAACTCAAGAAACTACACCCATCCCTCCCATCCAGAGCAATGCCTGCCACATACATGCCCATTTCCCCTCAGTCTGTCCATGCACACACCTGGCCTTGGCTGCTGGCTTGCTTGCGAGTTGGTGCGCGCGAGACCCCTCAAGCTGCAGCACTTGGTGGAAGACGCGGCGAGGGGACAGGCACCCCATGGCGAGCCACGGAGAGATCTTGCATGAGAAGCTCGCCCCGTACTGGCTGCTGCTGGGGCCCATGGCCTTGGAACCAGTGGCAGCAGACCTGGACTCCGCAACAAAGCCCGAGAGTTTGCGCAATGCTTCCGCCTCCCCTCCCTGCATTGACGTCATGTGAGCGTTCTGGTACAAGCACAGACACAGCAAGGCTGTCCGTGAGTGTTGATAGTCAGTAAGGAGAGAAGACGGAAGGAAAGGAAGTGGCGAGGAAGAGGAAAGTTGACATGCTGGAACCTCAATGGAGTGGCAGCCTTAGGAGTTACCTGAGTGCGAGGGTGAATGGCAGAGAGACCAAGGGCCTCGAGAGAGGGAATCTCCCCCGGCTGCACGTTGCCCATGACAGGCATGGGCTTGAGGTACTCCGGTGCTTCCACCATGTCCCGCACCTGCACCGCACCCATAGCACCACCCACCACAATCACAGGGTTCAACACGGGGACCGCAATCCAGGTTTGAGTTACCATGTGACAAGAGAACCAGGGGGGAAGAAAGAAAGAGTGTGTAAGAGGGAGCAAGGGAGTTGGGGCGTGGTGCAGACCTGGATGCGGGAGACGGCTTGACGGAAGGCGCTGTAGTTGGAGGGCATGTGGGGCAGGGCGAAGGGCAGGTCGTCCACATGGAAGAGCGTGCTGCCCCAATAGGTCTGTGCCTCCACGCCCTCCTCCTGCCATGCCCTCCACCACACACACCACACACACACACACACACACACACACAAACACACACACACACACACACACACACGTATATACACACATGCACTCATACACGCACACGTCCGCACACGCACATGCAAATGCACATGCGCATATCCACATGAAGGACGTACGACAGGTTGAGTGTACGGTCATACACTTTCCAAGAGAAGATTCACACATGCTTATTGGCTTTTCTCTTCCCCTACCGTACGTGCTACCACTCAATCTGAATCCCACCTTCCCCTCATTCCGCTTTCCCCCCCGCACCCCACTTTCCCCCGCATTCCACTTCTTCCCACATCCCACCATCCCGCGGTCCCACCTTGAGGCGGGCGGCCACGGCAGCCTCCACGCGGCTCTCCTCGGCCGTCACCTCCTGCTGCAGCACCACCGCCTGCGCCCCCACCGCGCGTGCCAGGCGCGGGAGCACGTCCTCAGGCCGCCCCACGCGCAGTACCAGGTCGCTGCCGCGCTCCCGCAGTGCCACCCGCAGCGCCGCCACGCACTGCAGCAGGAAGCGCGCCCGGTGCGGCCCCGTGCGGTCAAAGCCTGATGCCGACTTGCCTGTGTGCATCCACACGTGCACAGGGGTGGCGGGCAGAGGGAGGCGGGCAAAAGGGGGCGGGCAGGGGGGCAGTGGCAACGGGAGATGCAAGGGCGTGGTGGAGAGGAGGAGAAGTGAGAATGGAAGTGTGAACCATACAGAGGCGTCAGCCAAGGGGAGAGGGAAGGTGAGGAAAACGCAGGTGAGATGGGAGGGGAGAGGGAGGGCGAACCGTAGTCGCGCGGGTCGAAGCAGTAGACGGGCAGCACAGCGGCAGCCTCATTGTGGGCGGCAGCGAGTGCCTCGTTGTCGTGCAGGCGCAGGTCGTTCCGCACCCACTGCACCACCGTCCTGTGCGCCCCCGCTGCTCCCTTGGGGTCGCTGTGGGGCGTGCAGGGAGGGGTGAGAGGCGCGGCATGAGCAGAGGGAGCGACACTGAATGCACGATGCGAGAGAGGAAGAGGGGAAAATGAGAAGGTACGTGGAGAGCGAGCAAGGTAGATGAATGACGCTTTACCAGCCTGTCGTGCCAGGTGCTTACCAGGTGTTGCTAGCCTGTCGTCCCAGGTGCTTACCAGGTGTTGCCAGCCTGTCGTCCCAGGTGCATCAGATCAGGAAACGCCGTTGCTTGCTTCATGGGGCCCACAGCCGCATGTGCAGGTGACACGTCAGCAGCCAGCCCGTTGACAGCTGCCACGTGGCAAGCTGACACCACGGGCATGGGGCGAGGCACTTGCTCTGGAAGGACAGTGCAGGGCGAGCAGCTGACACGGCAGTCAGGCGGGCGAGGGGGGAGGCGGCAGGGCGGACGAGCGGAGCAGAGGAGGAGAGGGAGAACGGGGGGCGGCTGGTGGGAAACAGCAGCGGACGGCCTGCAGAGGAGAGGGCAGAGGCGGAGAGGGCGAGAGAGAGAGAGGCGAAGGCAGGAACAGGGATGTAGGCCGGGGAAGGGGCGGAGGGAGGAGCAGCAGGCAGCAGAGGCGCGGAGGGAGGGGTAGGAGCAACAGTGGGAGAGAGGTTGCGGGGAGCGGTCGCAGTGGGCTTGGGAGCGGCGGGAGGGGCCGACGGTGAGGCGAGCGGGCGAGAGCCGTTTGCAGCTGACGTGGCAATGTTGTGGTCTGACAGCATGGCCAGGTCATCAAAGTCGAGCGCGGACGGGGCGTCCGCGTTGGTGTGCGCAGGAAGGGGCGGGGGGAAGAAGGCCGCGGCTGTGGCGCACACCACACCCGCCATGGCGTCCCCCAGCGCCTCCGCGGCTGCCCTGCACTCCGCCCGCCACGCCACACACGGCACGCCCCGCCGCGCTTCCGCTCCCACCGCCTGCTCCAACGCTGCCTGCCTCGCCTCCGCCCCCTCCGCGGATTCGCCCCTCTTCCCTTCCCCCGCTCCCCACGTCCACCACCACCGCGTGCGCCCACACGCCCGCCCCCAGCGCCTTGCCGACTGCGCGCATCACCAGCCCCTCCGCCTCGCTCCTCTCCGAGTCCCCCCCAACGAACACGATGACGTCAGCAGGGCGGGCGCTCAGCAGGTGGTGGCGGAGGCGCATGGCCGCGGTGAGGGCGTCGGCTTCGTGCGCAGGCGGGCGGAAGCACGCGGCGGCGATGGTGGCGCGCAGGGGGCCGCGGTTGACAGCCCGCTCGTTGACGCGGAGAGATGCGCCGGGCTGGAGGGGGAAGAGGGGCGAAAATAAACGATTGAATGCACGGGAAATAATATAAGAGGGGAAAAAAGAAGGGAGGTACAAAATAGAAATGGCAGACGCGGAATGCGCGGGGCGACCTGAGAGAGGGAAGCATCGGGGAAGATGGCGCTGGCGGCGATGCCATTGGCGATGGCTGCGACGGCGGGCTCATCACAACCGACCAGCAGCACTGTCGCATGCCGAGTCGTCGCGCTCGCATGAAGGCGTGCGACGATGAAGCGATCGAGAGGGGCCGTGGGAGCCATGCGTGGAATGCTGGGGACGCGGAAGTGTTGAAAAGAAATCGCGAAGCACGAATAGTACAGAAATGGCTGGGCTCCACCTATGTTTAGAATCCAGAAATTCGGTTGCTTTGTTGCTCACATCCATCCCAGGTAGGCATGAGTGACCTTCATGATCCCGTCCATTTTGCACATAAATGTGCTGGCGAACAGGGCCAATATCTCTGGTTCCTATCATGACTGTTTCCTACAACATCTCAATATCGGGTAATGAGGTCGCGCACATGCGTATGTTCCATGAATATTTCTCCGCGAAGTAAACCGGGTTACCCATACGTCAGAAAATCCTCTATTTCCGAGAACCAGCTCCCCTTCCTTCCCAAAGTATCTCTGGCGTAAATCAATCCGATTGGTTCGTCTTCAGATCTCCGCCGTTCATTCCGCCGTTTTTGGCTCTCGACTTTATTCTTTCGGCACTTTCAAGGCCATCCCTCACCCTCTCCCCTCCCCTCCACATCACCCCTTCCTTTCCCCTGGCCCGTCATCCCCTCCACCCTGCAGCACAGCCATTTTCAACAAGCCACGACCTTGGGTTCTTCTCATCCACCCTCGGGTTTCCCCATTTCACTCCACTCCGTGATTCTGGTCGAACGGGGTGTTACGCTTTCTCTGGTCTTATACCCCGCACTTGGTTACCACCGCCGCACGCCCGCCATGGCGACAGCGGCTCTCACGTCCGCCTCCGCCAAGTTCGCGACGTTCGACGGGCTGCGCGCCGCCCGCTCTGACCGATCCACCGTCGTCGCGTCCGCCGCTCCGACGGCAGGCGCGTCGCCATCCCTGGGCCGTGTTCAAGCCACCGCCACTGTAGGCCGCTCATGCTGCATGCGTTTACACTCTGATTTTACATTGTCTTAGCTGAGATCTCGGATTTTGTCAGGATTCCGTTCTTTCGGCAAGGTCCGTCCTTTTGACATGGAGAGAGTTGTTATACGATGAGAAGCTTATCGTTCGATGGCAGCCGTCATTTGCTCGACACGAACTCGATACTCTGTCGTTGCCCGTGTGCCTCGCGTCCATCACACGCATTCATTCTTCTTAGCGCTTGCGTGAATGCGTGCCTGCATCCCTCGTCCGCATGTCACGTGTGCATGGCTGCCGTCCACAGCCCGTGCAGGCGCCGGCAGCAGGAGCGGCGAAGAGGAGCAAGGTGGAGATATACAAGGAGGAGAGCGACTACCTGCGCTACCCGCTCATCGACGACCTCAAGAACGACCTCCCCAACGTCAGCGCCGCCTCCGAGCAGGTGCGTCAGCGCCGCCTCCGAGCAGGTGCGTCAGCGCTGCCTCGCATCAGGCGCGCCTCCCGATCGTCCGCACCCTGCCTGCCGTTCCTCGTGCGCATCCGTGCGCTCTCCGTACTTCCCACAGCACTCCCGCCAGTCAGATCTCACCGTGGCACTGACGACGGCACGAACGACGACAGCGCTGATGCCAGACTGCGACTGCTGCTCAGAAATAGTTGCCGTTCTTCCTTTCAACTAAATTCTCGTCACTGACGTGCTACGATCGTCTGCGCCCATTCTAATGCAACTGATTTGTGTGTTCCCCCCTGCTTTGCCTCTGTGCACCCGTGTGCGCCTCTCTTGCGATCCCCCCCTCGTCCGCGGCGGTGCGCGCAGCTGATCAAGTTCCACGGCAGCTACATGCAGGACGACCGCGAGGCGCGGCAGGGGGGCGGCGGGCGCGCGTACCAGTTCATGATGCGGACGCGGCAGCCGGGCGGCAAGGTGCACAACCGCCTCTACCTCGCCATGGACGGACCTCGCCGACCAGTTCGGCTCCGGCACGCTCCGCCTCACCACGCGCCAGACCTTCCAGGTGCGCTCCGCCTCACTACGCGCCAGACCTTCGAGGTGCGCTCCCCGCGCCACGGCCCCGCCTCTCCCCGCCTTCCAGTAGTCTCCGCGCTGCTATAGAGGCATTCAAGCTCGCACGCTGCGAGCCGCAGCAAATATGCCGCCCGCCATCTCCGCTCAGCACCTCCCAACCCCCATCTCTCCCCCGCCGTCACCCCATCCCCATCCCCCTGTGTGCGCGCGCAGCTGCACGGAGTGCTGAAGGCGAATCTGAAGGAGGTGTTCGCGACGGTGATCAAGAGCATGGGGTCCACGCTGGGCGCGTGCGGCGACCTCAACCGCAACGTGCTGGCGCCCGAGGTGCCGTTCGTCGACCGCCCCGCGTACCGCTACTGCCAGGAGTACGCCGATAAGATCGCCGCGCTGCTCGAACCGCAGTCCGGCGCCTACTACGACGTGTGGCTGGACGGCGAGAAGGTGCGCGGAGGGGGGATGGAGGGAAGGGCGCATGGGTGAGATGGGAACGGGCTGCATGGGGAAAGGGTGCGTATGGGTAGAATGGGGGGAAGGGGCGCATGCGCGTGGGTCCTGCGCGGTTGCATTGGGGCGGTGACGTATTGGTGAAAACGGAACCGATGATGACGCAGGAGGTTATTACTCTCCTTAGTCTCGACTTGTCTTCCTGTTGCCTCCTGTACCTCACACTTCCCTGTGCCTCACCCTCTCCCCTCCGCCGTGTGGCTGGCTTTATCCAACAATCTGCCCCCCCGCCATGGCTCGCACCCACCCTCTCCGCGCCAGGTGCTGACGGCGGAGGCGCCGGCGGACGTGGAGGAGGCGCGCGCGGACAACCGGTTCGGGACGAACATAGAGGGCAGCGCGGAGCCGATCTACGGCACGCAGTACCTGCCGCGCAAGTTCAAGGTCGCCATCACGGTGCCGGGCGACAACTCCGTGGACCTGCTCACCAACGACCTCGGGCTCGTCGTGCTCTGCGACGACGCCACGGGGCAGCTACAGGGCTTTAACATCTATGTGAGCACTGTGCTGCGCGCGCCTCAGGGTTTCGGGTTTGGATTTCGGGATTTTGGTGTTGGGTTTCGGAGGGAGGAGGGTGCATGGAGTTGGTGGGACCAGGCGGTCGTGTGGGAGTGTTGAACAGCTGTGCTGGCAGGGGCGCTGCCGGCATTGGAGCTCACTCATGGAATGGAATGGGGCCCCGGTGAGTCTAGCAGGAGTGCCATGAGCAGGCTTCAACACTACTTCTTCCTCGAAACCCTGCTCCCTTCGCTGTCCCCCTTCCCGCCTTCTCTCTGCCTCCCCTGCGCCCTCCCGCGCGGCCATGGCAGGTGGGCGGCGGCATGGGGAGGTCGCACCGCAACGAGCAGACGGAGCCGCGGCTGGCCGGAGCCACTGGGGTACGTGGCGGCGGAGGACGTGCTGTACGCCGTCAAGGCCATCGTCGCCACTCAGCGCGACTACGGCCGCCGCGACGACCGCAAACAGGTGGGGGGTGGGTGGGGGAGAAGGGGGTTTATGGGGAAGAGGTGGGGGGGCGAGGGGGGAAGACGAGGAGTTAGGGGGCAGGGGTGTGGGATGCTGCAAGCATGGATGGAGGAAGGAAACGGAAGGGGCGCACTTATCATCCTTGCAGTGGTTGCGTTCACCGCTCGATTCCGTCACTTTTCCGTCCATCAACTCTCTGCCATGTGCTCCTGCCTGCATCCCCTCCCATACGCCGTACTCTCCCCTTGCCCTCCCCCCTGCGTGCACAGGCGCGGCTCAAGTACCTGATCCGCGACTGGGGCATCGACCGCTTCCGCACGGTGACGGAGCAGTACTTTGGCAAGCAGTTTCCAGCCGTTCCGCCCCCTGCCCGAATGGCAGTCCAAGCCCTACGTCGGCTGGGGCGAGCAGGTGAGCCGCGCTGCACTGAGTGAGCAGAGCACGTGTTGTGTTGTGCTGTGCTGTGCTGTGCTGTGCTGTGCTGTGGGGTCAGCTCTGTGCCCGTCTTGCAGTGCTGACACCCTCCCCTGCCCCTCCCCACCCCCCATCTGTCCTCTCGCTTGCACATTATCGTGTGGTTGTACCTGCCTGCAAACAACTTCACCTGAGGCTGCTTCACCTAGCCCATTCCCCCCCACTCGCCACTCTGCTACACGCCTCACCACACCGCATCCTACCCCACCGCACTGCACCGCGTGGCAGGGCGACGGGCGGCTGTACTACGGGCTGCACATCGAGAATGGGCGCATCAAGGGCGAGGCCAAGAAGGCGCTGCGGGCAGTGATTGAAAAGTACAACCTGCCCGTGCGCATCTCGGCGAATCAGAACCTGATGCTGTGCGACGTGCGCAAGGCGTGGCGCCCGCGCATCACCCAGGAGCTCGCCGCTGTCGGCATCCTCGTGAGTGCCGCGGGGGAGGGGGGGGGGAGGGGAGGGGAGGCGGGGCATCCTTGTGAGTGGGTGAGGGAAGGGGAGGGGGGAGGGGAGAGGGGAGGAGGGGCATGCTGTGGTTGGGGCGCTTGGGGAGAGGGGTTGCATCCTGGTGAGGCCAGGCTATGGGGGAAGTTGGAATTCGTGGAAGGGACCATGGGGGAAGGGGGAAGGGGGGCATGTTGGTGAGGCCAGGGGGCAGGCACGGTGGGGGGAGGGGGCATCGTGTTAAGGCATGAGAGAGTCGTTCCGCACCCCCTCTCCCCCCACACACAGAAGTAGCTGCACTCCTACACGCATGCCCTGCTCCACCACATTCCTGTGTCGCTGCCACAACCGTTGTCTGCCGTTGGCGCCCCCCTGCACCCACCATGCCCCACGTGCGACCCACAGGGCAAGCAGTACGTGGATCCGCTGAACCTGACGGCCATGGCGTGCCCTGCCCTGCCGCTGTGCGGGCTGGCCATCACAGAGGCGGAGAGGGGGCTGCCCTCCGTGCTCAAGCGCATCCGCGCCATGCTCGACAAGGTGGGGGAGGGGGATGCTGCTGTGAGGCAAGGCTGTAGCTTTTGTAGCGGGGAAAGCAGGGTGATGAGGTGTGGGGAAGATGGTGGGGCATGTGGGGATGAGTCAGCGAAGGATGCAATGAAGTCGATTGGAATATTGCGTGAGTACATGCGGAACCGTGTGCGCGTGGCTCTAACTTGCTTGCTTGTCGCTGCTGTGTGTTGTGCCTGGTGTTTCTTGTTGCCTCCCATGGCATGACATGGCATGGCATGGAATGATGGCATGGCATGGCATGGGAGCAGGTGGGGCTGAGGCAGCAGCAGGCGCATTCACTGGTGGTGCGCATGACGGGCTGTCCCAACGGCTGCGCACGGCCCTATGTGGCGGAGCTGGGCTTCGTGGGGGATGGCGCCAACTCCTACCAGGTGGGCATGCCTCCGATTTTTACTCAGATGCTGAGGTTTGAGTGCTGAGCTGCATCAGTGCCCACTGCCTCGTCATGCACCACCCACTTCCTCATGCCTGACCCACATCGAATTGCCCTCACACCAACAAACTGAGCTTCCTCTTTCCCCTCCCCCTCACTCTCGTGCGGCAGCTGTGGCTGGGCGGCACGCCGAACCAGACGGTGCTGGCGAGGGTGTTTCTGGAGAGGGTGAAGGTGGGCGAGCTGGAGGCGGTGTTGGAGCCGCTCTTTGCCATGTGGAAGGCCCACGGCCACAAGGCCGAGTCCTTTGGGGACTTCACCAACCGCGTTGTGAGTGCTGCGGCGGGGGTGGGTGAGTGCTGCGCTGAGGGTGGGTGCGTGCTGCCTGGTGGATGAGTGCTGTGCGCTGTACTCGTGGGCACTCTTGTCGCACAGGGCCATGCCGGGTGTGTTTCCAATAAGCACTTGCAAGTGCACTCCAAGCTCTCATTTCACGTTTCCTGTGTGCTGCTGGTGTTGGTGCTTCTGGCAGGGCTTTGAGGCGATGAAGGAGTACATGGGCACGTACACGGCGCCAATAGGGAGGCAGAGGGGCATGGCTCGGCGCATCACAGTGGATGATGAGCTGGCGGGCAAGCTGCAGGAGGTGGCTACGCAGCGCGGCACCACGGTGGCCAAGGTCACACGTGAGGCGCTGCTGCAGTTCCTGGCAGAGCACAAGGATGAGTAGAGTAGACCTTGTGGACGTACATACATACCGTACCTTGTTCTTTGACACCACATGCAACAGGCTTTCCTGCATGATTGTTCCCTTGGAGGTTGTGTATGATTGTTCCCTTTGTAGCAACTTTCCAACCACATATACAGGCAATATCTCCTAGACTGCAAAGTAAGTAACACTAAGAAACTGGGAATCAGAAAATCTACGTTAGCTGGATGCTAACTAACGTGATTAGAATGGAAAGAATGGGTGGGATGTCTACTAATGGTGGTAAGTGTCTGCTATGCCTGTCACGAGAGGTGCTGCAAAGCTCTACCAAGCCACTGAAGAGGATCCTCCATGCCACACCCTCCACCACCGTGATGGGTGAGTGGGCTACCCAGCCAGCGGCACCATGGAGAAGCGGCGGCCGGTGAGGTGCAGCCATGCCTTGCGGGTGTGCACGATCATGTGGTGCTGCCGACACTCCAGGCAGCAGAACGCCCTTGTCGCCCCTGCACACACACATGCCATCATGAAGGTCAGCACGCAGCCATGTAGATCCATGTAAATCCATGTGAGAAAGGAATTCAGCAAGGCCAGTAGGGGAGGAGATCGCGCGGGGCTACTGCGGAGGGGCGCGCGCGGGGCTCACCGGTACATGAAGGCGTCCGCGCGCTCCAGGCTCCGCCGGCAGAAGGCGCAGCGCTTGAGGAAGTCGGCGCTCGTCGCGTCCGACAGCCGCGCGCCGGGCGGATGGCCGCCAGCAGTCGTCGCCGTCCATCGCGCCGTACGACCACGGCGAGCTCGCGGCGATGCGCTGCGCGTCCAGCGGCACTTCGCAAAACCACGCCGCGCTCAACTATCGTGGCCGTGCTGCTCGGTGCAGCTGCGGGACTCGCGGCGATCACAGCGCAGGGCTCGTCATGCGGCACGCATCGCGACGCTGATCGGTGGAGGAGAGGTGCATGGAGCTTAGCGTGCGGTGAAGCACGAGATGGGCGGCCATGGTGGGACGGCTCGCACTGATGCTGCTAGTGACGCGGTCATGTGACAGGGCCGTCACGGTGTGCGTACTACGGAACGTCCAAGGGATCAGCACGGGAATCTAGCTGAAGAGAGAAAATGGGAGGCTTGAGACAGGGAGACGAGAAACCCGAGGGAGGAGGTTGAGGCTGGATGCGAATGGAGATTGCTTGTGAGGGACGCCGTCAGGCTGTCGCCATCAACCGCCTCTACGCGTGGTCGCCGCCTCACAGCGACCCACCCTTGACTCGGCATGCTGCCCGACCACTCGCCTGCCCTCCCATCATCATCCCGCTCCCCGTGTGCTGTGGCTCCTCCTCCCAAGAGGGCGAAACTTGGGCGAGCGTCGCTCACGGCCACATGCTGCCGAATCCCGAATGGGGGATGGGGGGGGAGGGACCACTGTACACGTGAGTTCGTTCGTGGAAATTGGTCAGCGTGACTGCTTGTGTTGCATGCTCGACTGGGCAGGGAAACGCGCCGTCGAAAAAGTGCGACGACTGGTCATCCTGGGAAATGCGCGGCCACTGAGTACCCTCCACGTTGGCAATTCGTCTGACGACAGCCCTGAGCCTCTCGATATCTCCCTGCCAATCTGGTTTGACAGGAGGTCGTTGCGCTCCATGTCATCGCCACCGAAAGTGGAACTTGGAGAAGTGATTCAGAAATATCTCTCAGCCACAAAGAAGCGACAATTCCTATGCCAGTCTGACCAAAAAACATAAGATGCAACGATAAATATCAGAACACAAAACGTTGAACAATAGCGAGTCGAGTACAGTACTGCATCCCCGGCTTTCTGTACACAGAGGGGAGGGAGGGAAATCAGCTGTGAATGAACGTGATCGATAGCGAGCGTGACATTCATCACCAGTCAGTCAGTCAGCGATCCACTTGCCCAGCTCCGCTCCACGTTGCTGGATCGTCTCGTCTCGAGCCATTCACCACCGTCTCAGGGCTTGGCCAGCCTCTCACTCGCCGCTGTCTCCTCGCCCCGCATCCAAGGACTTCCCTTTTTCCGTCCCTCTCGTCCGCCCGTCCGCTCGCGTCAACCCTCATCCCCGTCGCCCCTGTCATCCGCGTATTCCCAGCGTTCGCCACGATGAGCGGCAGAGCGGCGGCGGCGGCGGGCGGCCACAGGTGGACAAGGCGGCGGATTTCGCGAATTACTTTTGCACGTACGCGTATCTGTACCACCAGAAGGACATGCTGTCGGACCGCGTGCGGATGAACGCGTATCGCGACGCGGTCATGAAGAATAAAGCGCATTTCGTCGATAAGGTGCGATCCAGTTCTGCGCCTCGGTGAGATCGAGTCGCAGTTCCGTGAGGGCGAGAGATTCTGCCGTGTTCATTAGTGAATCGCGATTCCGATCTAATTTCTCCAATGAGAATGGTCCAGCACCCGTCAGTATCGAGGCATCACCCACCCGTCGCTCTGCGCGGCCCCGATCCCCTGCACCTGATTAACCCGTACACGCATTGCCTTGGGTCCGTCCGATCCAGGTCCTTCGTCCATTAGCAACTCTCACCCTCCTCCCCACCCCCTCCTTCCTTCCTTGCGCCACACCCGCCAACCCCACGTGCCTTGCCGCCCCACCTCCTCCCCGTGCTCGCCGTGCCCACGCTCCCCGTGCTCGCCTGCCCACGCTCCCCGCGCAACGCAGCAACCACTATCCCCGGAACCCTCAAACCCTGTCACCTCTGCGCTCCCCACCCCCTTCGCCCCCACAAGCTCTTTCGTGCTGCATCTCGCCCCATCCGACACCTCCTCTCCCTCCCCAACCCCTCCCCCCCCACAACCGTTCTCCCGCGCGCCCCGCAGGTGGTGCTGGACGTGGCACGGGCCACGCGGCATTCTCGCCATCTGGGCGGCGCAGGCGGGCGCGCGGCGGCGTGTACGCCGGTGGAGGCGACGGACATGGCGCAGCACGCGGAGACGCTGGCGCGCGCCAATGGCGTGGCGGAGCGCGTGACGGTGCTGCAGGGAGCATGGAGGATGTTCAGCTGCCCGAGAAAGGGCGTGGGGGCGGCGGGATTGCTGTGCGGGGAGGCGGAAAATTGCTGGTCATGCACTCTCTTACACACGGCTTCCCTTCCCTCGTCCCCCCCCCACACTCCGTGACACAATTTCCCTTGGCCCCCTCCCTTCCCACTCATGCTTGCTCTACCACCTCTCCCCCCCCCCCCCCCCCACCCACCACTGGCTCGGCGCGCAGTGGACGTGATAATAAGCGAGTGGATGGGGTACTTCCTGGTGCGCGAGTCCATGCTCGACTCCGTGCTCGTCGCCCGCGACCGCTGGCTCAAACCGGGCGGCTCCCTGTCCGTGCAGCCTCTGGGACCAGGGGGGAGAGGGGAGAGGGATGGGGACTGGGTGGGCTGAGGGGTTGAATCTGCGGATGGGTTATTGGAGATGGGGCAGAGGGAGGGGTGCTTTTTTTATGCACTGTGCTGTGTCAACCTTCTTATCCACCTCTCCGTATCCTTTTAGGCCCCTCTGCCGCCTCCTGCCGTCGTTTCTGCTCATCCCTTTCCCTCCCCCCCACCCTCATCCACCGCCGCCCCCTTGATTGGTGCAGGTTCCCGAGCCATGCGCGCATGTGGGTGGCGCCGGTGCATTCGAGCCTGTGGGAGGGGCGCATGGGCGAGTTCCGCAGCAGCATGGGCGACTGGCGCAGCTTCGTGCGGGGCACACGGGAGGACTACGGCGTGGACATGGCGGTGCTGGATCAGACCTATGAGGCCGAGCAGCAGAAATACTTCCTTCAAGTAATAATCTCCCCACCTCCCTCGCCCTGTTCCCTTTCTCCCAGTCCCCTTCTCGCGTTCTCTTTCCCCCACTCCTCTCTCCCCGTTCCTTTTTCCCCAGTCCCTCTCGCCCATTCCCTTTTAGATGCTCCCTCTCGCCCGCTCTCTTTTGCCCACTCCCTCGCTCTCACTCCCACTCTGACACCCCTCCGGCTCCTTCTCAACAGCTCCCTCGCCCCGCGCCTTGTATCCCATCTGTTACCTGCCGTTCCTTGCTCCACTCACGCCCTCCCTCACCCCGTGCCCCCCGCCCCCTGCCAGACAGGGTGTTGGGAATCGCTGTACCCCTCACAGGTGTTGGGGCGGCCGGTGATGATCCGCGAGATAGACTGTGCCACGGCCACCGTGGCCGATGTGGAGGAGGTCAAAGCGCACTTCACCACTCGTGCCTTCGCTGCTGATAAAGCCGTCAACGCCATCGGAGGGTGGTTCGACGTCCTCTTTAAGGTAAGCCTGCTTGCATTGCAGCAACCCATCCTGTCGTCCCAGACACCTCAAGCATGGCATGGGCTGCTCCAGTGGCTGCTTGCCACCAACATTCCCACAATCGGCCTCTCCTAACCCCCTCTGCTGCCTTCACTGTTCCCCCCGCCACCCCCCACCGCTCCCCTCCTCCACCTTTCCCCCAACACACAGGGGTCAGCCACGGACCCCACGGAGCACGAGGTGCAGCTGACGACAGCGCCCAGTGTGGACGAGGGCACGCACTGGGGGCAGCAGGTCTTCCTGCTCGCACACCCGCTGCACGTGCGCGAGGGTGATGAGGTATCGGGCGCCATGCACATCCGGCGCTCCAAGAAGAACCACCGCCTCATGGATGTTGATCTGCAGCTGCAGTGCCAACACACCGACGGCTCCCGCTCCCCCAACACCATCGCCGCTTACTTTATCGAGTAGACGTGTGTTTGTGCCAACTCGTGCATGCTCCTTCAGTTGCCTAATTTTTGTTAGGGTGATTTTTGTAATTCTTTTTATGGGTCATTCACAGCACAGCAGTTCCAGGTGTACCTGCAGGATCCTGAAGCTGCATGCAGCCAGCTGCCAGCGCTGCTGCTGTGTGGCTACACCCACTCTACTGGAGAGTGCTTTGTTTTCAGCAGTTGGCTCTCAGTTCACATGGCTCTTTAAAACAGTGCTTTCTGGCATCATGCTGGTGTATTTCTATTACGAGCATAATTACTTGTACGAAAAAATCCATACAGATTATAATTTTTAAACACATTGATGTTTTTCAAATTGTGTATTGTGAAAGCGAAGCTGCCTGTACCGAATATTTGGCAGCGTCGAAGCGCGCTAAACGCCCTTCTCCAACTACAAAAACCGTGGGTTGGAGTTCATTCCCTCCACCACATTTCTCGTTTTCCAACGGCTCAATCAACATTTCCGTTCGAGTAGTTCTTTTCCCCGTCCAAGCTGGCTAGAACTCGCACTCTTCCCAGAGGCCAGTCACCCTCAACACTTCTGCAAGACATTTTCAACCACAATCGCTCTACAATGGCGTCTACGCCGGCACTTAACCGCGGCAATTCGTCTGCGCCGAGTTCCGACACCGATCGTAACGCCCGAGAAATGACGGGCGATCGCCGTAACAAGCGGCGGGCAGAGGAAGGATCGCCCGCCCAAACGCCGTAGACATGCTTGTTAGGCGGGCTCGAGGTCAACAAAAACTCGAGCCCGCCTCAGCAGCAAGCAACCCCCCTCGGCCCCTGTGGCGCCTGTGGCGCCTGAGGCACGTGTGGGCGCAAGTGGCGACGGCGGCACCTGCAGCACCTGTGGCGCCCACACGCGCCTGACCGCGGAGCACACGCCCGGCGCC